AACTTCGATAAGGGAACATAACCGATGCTGGCATATTTCTGAAACTATGGGATCTCAAACTGTCACGTATTAAAATAATATAATTCGGCACCCAACGTAATCTTATCGCGGATAACCGCGAAATATAATCGATCAGAGCAACACAAACAACACGGACAAAACATCGCTTATGGATTAGCATACATAAGCCGTAGGTCTTAAGTCGGGCTGTGAGAACCTGCGATCAATCTCAAAGACAACGAGGTCGGCCGAGAAATGAAACTGTTGTTACGCACTTTGACTAGGAAATATAGCGAATAGCGACGAAATCGGATTGCTGTCGTTGTTTTTTTTTTTTGTGTAAAAAAAAACAGTTTTCGAAACAAGTCACTCTTCCAGAAGTTTAGAAAGTTGACCGGTAGAGTATGAGGTAAAAATAAACAACTATGATTGAATTTTTTCTTTTCCCGTTTCGCGTGTATACAGAACTTGTGCGTTTGGTGCGGCGCTGTTGTGTGTTAATTGCATTAACGTGCAACCGATAATAGCAGCGCTATTGGACCGGTTTTTCGAGCAAACGGTTCGCGTGTGTCCCATAACAAGTAATCGTAAAAAGAAAGATATATACCATTTTAATAATATTATTACATACCTATTATAATACGCATAATACGTAATGTTATATGCCGACTGCAGTGAGTAATAGCACACATAATATCATTATATTGGTATTTGTTATGGTGTTGAGAGACTTGGGAATTCATTGGGATTTCTTTGTCCGAAAGAATGGTCCGCCACACGGTCAATTCACTATAATTTTCCATTCGTGTGTATACGATAAGTACGCACGCATGTTACACTCCAGTCAGTTGTACGTTTTTGCATGAGTAATATATAGATTTGTAGAATGTTATTAGAGAGGGTAATTTTTTTATCTTAGATTTAAATAGGATATTTTGTAAAAAAAAAATACTACACTTTCGAGTTATTACATTTCAAAATATGGGTATATTCATTTAAAACACCTAATACGTTAGGGGCATAGTACTATCGTTTATAAAGTATATCAGTGTATATTATTATCTGTATTTGATGGCAGATCATAAAAATCTATTTCAAATTATTTTAAGAAATATATTTAAAAATGTACTGATCAGGAAGCATGCAAAACAATTATATGATGTGTTCATTATAAATTATAGTATAATGTGCTATTTAGTATTTACATTATGAGTATACGAGTACAAGCATTAAACTTAAAAGTGAACAATATCTGCACCATTTAACCTGATCTGTTTGAATATTTAGGTTAAATATATTATGTAGATATTATTAATGAAGAACGTAAGTAGTTTTGAAAAGCCGAAAAGGGTATAGTTCTAACCTCCAACACGACTCGTATACGATCGAATGAAAATCTCGACCAATGATTTTATTTTAATAATCATACAATATAAATGTCAATAAACAATGATTTTTTATTCAAATAGTTTTAAGGATTTGATAATATAGTATAATATACACATGCATTTAGCTCAGTATTTTAATATATATTATTACATATTTTATATTGCACACAGCATATAAGCATAAAAGAAAATAGTTAATTAATTTACAAAAATAATATATTAGGCGTGTGCGTGTTTTAAAAATAATTAAAAATGACTTATTTTTTAATCTCTTATACAAAAATAAGCAAATTACATACTCAAAATACACACTAAAATGCCCTGAAGCAATTGCCAAAATTTAAAAACTTAATAATACGTATAATTTTTAAAACTTTAAGTGCAATAGGTATACTATTATTTACATAGCTGTTAAAAAAAACTTTAAAATTTTAGAAACAAATTTTCCTCAATATTCCTCATAATTTATAGTTTAAAAAATGTATTTGATACATTGGTTACAGGGGGGAGGGGGGGGATGAGTGCTTCCGTTGATCATAAAGCCGATTTAATATGCATGCCAAGGTCTTATAAAAATTGAAATGTTTCAATACTATGTTCTTCGTGAAATTTTCAATCACTGCATGCATATGTATGAGGTAATTATACGATTAAACAATATGAAAGTTACACCTCCAACGTTTAGATTTATTATAGTTTTTTTCGAAAATTTTGTTTGAGAAAAAAACATCCTTAATCGATACACAAATATATGCATATCCTTCAAAAAATACACTCGAACCAGTTATGGGAATGAAATAGATAAGGTAGGTATATAATTAAATAACAGCGGAATTGTATCAAAAAATGTGCGTATATATGTATACCATTTAAATAAGAAACAAATTTCAATAAATTACTCTAACATAAATTAATATTTAATTTGTACATACACCTTGGTGCGAGGTTAATTTTTTTACTATGCAACTAACTATGTAGGTGTAGCGAATTATTTATGATAATTATATTATAATGAAATTAATAGTTTACCAATTACACATACATTAACTATTTCTGCACACTATAAATATTAATTGGGTATTACTTAGGGGCCCAAGTATTAAACCACCAAATGTTTATTGGTTAAGGCATAATATGAAAGAAACTACGTGTACTACATCACGTTGTGAAATATCATAATTATTATGCATCGACGTAGGCAGTAAACACATCTTCATTTTTTAAGACGTCAAATACCAATTAATTTAGGCGTCTTACTATAACCTAAAATAAATCATTAAACGCCATACAAAATAATGATCTTTGATGATTTAACAGGAAATGTTATGTTGTAATTCCTCTTGTCTCAATAAAGTCCAAAATTAGTCTTTCTAACACGAGCATCTTAATTTATAATGAATTTTTCATCAACTTAAATAATTCTAAACAATTTGTTTTATTTAATCATTTGATATAATTTTTATAATTATATCTTATCTGCTTGTAATTTGTAATATTTTCATTATAAAATCAATTATTTCATATTTGTAATATCACTAGAGGGCTTTGCCCTCGCTCGTATCGCTTGGCAACCCGCCAACCCCCCTATTTTTTTCTTTGATATCAGCATCTTTTGACACAATTTTTGCTCCCTATTCATCACACGTTGGTTTATTATAAATCCTTGGATTATCCATATTGCGTACATAAAAATGCAAGAATATATATATCTCCATCAGTGCTGTATTTATTCTCTCCATACGAATTCTTAAGTTAGATTGCATTTGGATTTATGATTCAATATTGGCTGAATGATCCTTAATACATTTTTCCTTACTTGGTTTTCCATTGTTTTATTTTACACCTCATTGTGAATTGTCGTAAAAAAAAATGTCGCATCAATAATACAACATTGATTCCAAAACATTTAATGGCAACAGATTCAAATTACGACTACAAACTAAAATCAACGTTCGGGTTCCGCGTTCGTCGTTTAGTTACAATTTACTGTGATTAATTAAAATTTTTTTCAGGGTCCACCGGGTACGGCTCTTCTCAAGTCCGTCTGTTTTCACTGCAGTATTATAATATAAAAATATTATTGTTACCTATTATCGTCTTTTGCGGTACCTATACAAGTAAAATATGCGTCCCTACTTCGTCCTTCTCTGTCGCTATTATCTAGTACTCCCAAAACTCGATAACACCTAGTGCTTTTCTCTGAATGACATTTCCAAATTGTTTTTATTCTTTGTATTATTGTATGAGGACATGAGGTACATCACGGAATAGTAACCTAACCCATAATTAAACGACTCGTTAAAAGTCGATCGAAACATTATTCTTTCGGTTAAATGTAATGCTATATTTCTATTTCTCTAAAAACACATTGTGCCAACATGTATTTTCTCTTTTGTCTTTTGCACCCATTCAACAGAGCACAAACAACGTCTGTGTTTAAATTGCTCGTCTTTAATTAAAATCACTCTGATGATATCGTACCTTTTGTTTTGGTTAATACTTAAATTATTCAACGTACATAATATTCTCCTAGCTACTATTAATCCATATGTGTTTAAATTAAATTTTCTGTCGTATTATTGTCAAAGCGCAGACATTAATATTTGTATTACTTGTATGCTAAATACATAGGCTTAAGATAATTTAGTATTTACGGATATAGGCCTATACTATGACTCCAGTCATGTCGTCTATAATTAAAGAGACAAGTACGAATACTATAATATTATATGTAGGTACGTGCCCTTGTTGTTGCTGTGAATAGTCATCGTTTAATGCGCTCGTGCACTTACTATCGTAACTCATATTTTACTGACTCATGATAATTTAGGTGCATACTACCGTATCGTATATAATTTAATCGTGATTACATGGTAATTTATTTTCATTTTTAGTGATGCCGACTAGGGGTACCTCTAACCTACGAATTATGTGTTATAAATTTGAACATCACATATTATTTTCTTAAAATATCAGTATTTTTAACATCAGTTACACATTGTCTTAATGGATCCATATTTTTGTTCAAACAATTCTAACAATTTCGTCTGTATTGCTTTTAGCGTCAAATTAAAATATATACCTACGTATTGTGTAAGCAAATATAAAACCTAATTATCCTATCGGACCAATCATGATAAAAATCGTGATTTTGGACATTCGTTTGCTAAATGAATCAATTGATCACTAATCAGTATTCATTGATCAAATTCGAAAATATTTAATTGGCTTACGTGTAGATAAATTCCATTTTATTACAGCTAGGTTTATCAAACAAAAATGATAATGATGACAAAACGTTAGGATCATTTAATTTCCTTGCCAAAATTTGAGAATTGAAATTCTTCCCGTGTTACAATTTAGATTTAGTAACCTATTTTGAATTTTAATGTAACAATACATTTATTATTTGTACGCTAAGTTCTAATATGTATTGCTGCACTTAATTTCTCTGCTCGATAATAATACAACTAAAAAATAAACTGCTTTATATCTACAAAAAAAATGAATGTAGTACCAATTAATTTTAATGACAACAATTTGTTTTAATTATAATTATTTATCTGTATTATTTGCATAATATACCTCTTATATGTAATTTAATTTTTCCAGATGGGAGACGCCAAGTATGATAATCATGAAAACAGACTGATGTTCAGTTTACAACAAATGATGAACTCAGAACATTTCGCAGACGTTGTTATATGCTGCGCGGACGGATACAAATTAAGAGCCCACAAAGTCGTACTAGCGTACTGCAGTTCTTATTTGCAAGTAAGTTAAAAACTACTTAGCTAGTTGATTTCATTAATTTTTTTTAATCATTAGTGTATATAACACCGACCTTTTGTGGTTCCAATGCTAAATGTACGCCCATACTGCCATGCCTGCCCATTTTTATCGACAAGGTTAGATACATAATAGTAATATGGAGTAAAGTCGACTATTATTTAGTCAGCAACGGTTTTGATTTTAACCCGAGTAAACTGATATAAAACTGAGCTTAGGTGCTGATCGCATACATAGAAATTAAAATCTTATAAGGTTATCGCTGTAACGATTAACGACTATGCACACGTGTATAATAATCGATACGATATTACAATATGCTGTTTAATAACACCGTGCCTAGAGATAACATCATGTATCGATGTACATGTACACTACCATTATATTAATAACAACTACAATTACCAAAGAAATTTAATTAACCACAAATTAATATATTCACAATGTAGGTACTATAATATAGTAACGTTTCGTAAGTCATTGAATCTAATCAACGTAGATATACGACGTCAAGTCCACGAACTCAAAGCTGTTCCGTCGAACAACTGATACTGCCAACACTGATAGTAATCCTATTGTGCGAGGCGTTCAAATTTAATCAGAGCTCCGCGGGATCGATTGATGTTTTTTTTTTTTTCGTTTTTTTGTTTGTGCGTCAAGCGAACAGTGGACTCGTATACCTTTATTTATACACTCGAGCACTGCAGACACGTTAAAATATGTAAAATAAAACACCAGTTAAATGTTAACAATACATGACAAAATATGATTAATATACCTGCACGCGCTTATGTTTGTATTGCATATATACGTCTATCGATCGAAATCACAAAACCGTATCCGATGCAGTCGGTTGTCGATGAAGTCCGGTCCGATTGTCGGTCGCCAGGCTGGTCGAAAACCGCCAAGAAATTAACCCTCGGTGATATAGGTACTATTCACGATTTGCCGTCACATATATAATAGTATACGTCATAAACTCATAATATACCATATACATGTGTCCGTGTCGTGCTTGTAGAATTAATCGTGGCCGCGGCGCGTGTGTCGCGAGTTTATAGGTCATTTTCCAAGACCACGGTAGACTTAGAACCCATGATACCCATGATACTGTACTCGTAATCACCTCCGCCGTAAGGTGCTGTGTAGCGGAGAAATATAAACAAGCGAGGATTTCGAGAAAAAAAAATTAGAAGAACGATTTCACCACACCGAGACTGAGTGTATTATAATTTATCGACAATCGCGCACGCGTATCATCCTACTCCTCTCACACTCCGCCCCCACTGCCACATTCTCTTTTAAAGTACCAGAGACGAATCCCATGTAAATACACACGTGCGTGATAGATAAAACGGAGAAAAAAACCATATAGACCGTAAGATATAGCCCACGTTTGCCTAATCTATACGATATAGGACGTGTATTATAATAAACAATAATATATTATATTATTTAAAATTTTCAATGTAGGTACGTACCTATACCGTCACAATATATATCGCTACGACATCCGTACGCAGGCTCTCGGTCGGCGCTCATGACCCAACAATGTTTATGTTCTATTATAATATTCTATATTAATATATCATTATTGCTGTCATTTCTCCTTTGCGCAGACGCTGTTTCTCAGCCATCCTGGACCGGACGACAGCGTCACAATCATCCTGCAGGACGTCGGGCACGAGGATGTGAGTCGCGTCCTGGAGTTTGTGTACACAGGCGCGGCCGTCGTCCCAGGACACAAGATGGACGGTTTCGTGACGGCTGCAGGTGCGCTGGGAATAGGGCCACTACTGGACCCGAGGCGGCACTTGGAGATGTCCACGGTCCAGCCACAAGCTCCTCGCCACCCGTGCTCTCCGCAAACGGTCATGTATGACCCGACGCCCCTGACGACGCCACCGCAGCAGCAGCACCCTTATTGCAGGGTCCGTCAGCCACCCAGGACCACAGGCATCCTGACGCCGTCGCCTTGGGCCCAGAATTCCCGGCCGCCTTGTGCCACTCCCAGATACTCGGCTCCGAAGACGGTGCAACCCGACCCCCTGGTGATACCGGTACACCCGCCGACCACAACCGCAGTTCAGGTTAGTTGTAATTACGTATTTTCATTTTCGGACATTTCATAACACCGCTGCTTTAAAATACAAATTATTACGGGTTTCAAACTTTAGCTTATTTTAACGGGTCTCTAATATGCTATTTTTTTTCTTATTATCAACTTATTTTGAATCTTCTTTTAAAATGGCAGGGATACGAAATTCAGTATACATCTCAAAAATAAATTATTATTATTATCATACTGTTAATTACGATTGGGTTTCAATAAATTATTAATTTTCGTCCATCGACCAAAGTTATACCGACCAGAATATAATAACATGATCATTAATTTTTGTTTAAAAAATTACATTTGCAAGTACTGCAATTTTCATAACCTCTCAATTAGGAGAATGTAAATTATAAACAGCCAGATATTATACATGATTACCAAAATTCCATACTTGTGAAATTAGAAATTGCATGTATAATTAATGTTAAATTATTCCTAAATCAAAACAGAATTTAGTAGGTGAAAATCCTATGTCAGTCCGGTCTCCTACGATATTTAATTTCAGTACGAAGAGAGAAATTGAATAAGTAGATACATAATCATCTGTATATTTCGTGCGCGTGTGTGTATTAAGAAATAAAAAAACGATAAATAAAAAAACAGTTCTTAACATTTACGAATTCGTTTGGCGGAGTATCTAAATACGACAGTGCTGTACAGTAAAAAAAAAATATTTTGTTTGATATCATTAATCAAATGTAAAAGTTCTAACACAAAAAAAATTATACAGGATATATTTGCCATAATATTTCTCACGGAGTTAAACTTTATCTGCTCATACTTAAAGTTTTTAAGCTGGAACTTTTTTAAATCTAGTATGTGGTTTCGTTGTTTTAAACAAAATAATAAAAACATTGTTTCGCCCTGTTTCTGCATTTTATAGTTCTATATATTAATATTTTAAAACTAGAATACATAATATGTAAACTAATAAACTATGGTATAATATTAAGGTATACGAAGTATATTATAATTACTATAATGAAATTGAGTTGTATTGATTATAATAATTTATCCATCATAATTATACAATTTAATTGAAAAAAACATATAGATTTATGGTGTCGTTATGCACACAATTGTTATCTTGTCATCACATTTTAATGACAAAACTTGTTTAAGTTACTTAATTATTAGTCATTATATTTTATAATTTACAACAGAAGATATTACATGAGACATTTTTGAAATTAATTCACTATTTATGAATTCCTTATATTATAATATAAATAATATTATTATAACCACTCACTTGTCGAGTTTACTCTAGTTTCCGCTCGACGACTCAAGACGTTGTCGGTGCGAAAAGTTTTTTGTTACCTATTAGTTATTGGAGATTTCGCTTAAATCTCTATAGACTATAATGTAGTTATTATGTTACTTACATCCGGTCGTTATACAGATAGTTGAGTGTCTGTGGCCGATAATCGACTCGATTTCTATACTGTTTGACGTATATGCGATATAGAAAACTCACATTTAAATTGATGAGTAAGTAGTTTGTACCTACGTAGTACTTAGGTATTTCGACAACAACCAATAACGTACATCTTCACCGCTCACCGCGTACCTTTCAAATTTACTTAACTGGGGCTAATAATTGATAATTTCATGCAAATCAGGATTTGTCTAGATAAAACTCGAAAATAATATTATTACCTTGATAAGTGATGACTAACCACTGAGATAACCACTACCTTAAGCCAGAGAGGTTCAAAAACATTTCGAGTTAAATTATTTTCTTTTCTCTTTTATGTTTCACTTAAAACTCATCGATTTAATTTAAATGTTTACATCAATTTATTGAAGCATTTTAATGTTATCAGTTATCACTTTATATTTTTTCAGTGCACGAAATTACAATAAATCAACACTAAATTCTAATTTCATCCCCATAGAGTAAATTACGCGACATAATCACGAGTCGTCAACATTAGTAAAAATCACATCGTATTAAAACAGAAAAGAAACTAATGGAAAAGTCGTTAATTGCTAAAAATATTACCGTTTTGATGTTTTATAATTATTGTATTAAACAGTATAAATAGAAATGAGCGACGGAAAAAATAAACATCGACCCATATTTCGTCGAACCCGTATCTAAAATTCTTGTGTAAATTGTACTAACGATGTGACCATTATCTAAAACATATTATTATTATCTGTTTTTATTCAACTATTAATAACAAGTGCAACAACCGATGAATTCAAATCAAAAAACTCAACTTAATACAACCATGTTTATTATTTAATGTTGGGTTCGGAAAAATATTTACATATTTATGACCCAAATGCAAATTTAGGGCCTCCAGTGATTTAAATGTTAACGTATTCAAAATTCTCAAAACAGCAAACACAATTCGAAAATGTTGACTAAACGAGACATATCCGATAAACTACAAACTAGATTACATATCCTACAGTATTCATACCATAATATGTGCTTCGCTGGTAAATATAATATTATTATTTGGACGGCGGCCGATTTTGTGAAAATATGTATGGTCTGTTATAAATTCATGACCCAGAGAAGTGATCATTTTTTCATATGATAAATCTACGAACGCCTGATGTTTTAAGAAAATGGTCTTGAACTAAAAAGTAGGAAAAAAATGTAGTGGGAATCTACAGTTGTAAAATATTTCGGTCTTTCTATTTGACTATATATCCTTTTATAGTACCTATATTATTATGTGTGCAGTAAAACATTGACTGTATTGTACAAGTATTTATTGTAATATACAACCACGCACATCATCAACGATGACAACATGACGGTTAATGTTCTAAAAATTGCAATTGTAGAAAGCTTACAAGAGTAATAATTTAAATATAATAATGTATACTATACACTTTCAAAAAATAACAAGACACTTTGAGATATTCAAATTGAGGATTCAAGCTTTTATAGTACTTACTGTACAGTAATTAGTACAGTTTAAAAGTATATTCCAATTAAAAAAACCACTAAAATATAAAATAATATTAAAAATAGTATTACAATAAGCAAACAATGTTTATTTTTTTATTTAGTGAACATTTCTAACTTAACGTAATAGTAGTCGATTATACATAATTTCACCATGTAGATAGAACATCTTCGGTCTAAGTCTTAAACATCTAAATCGGTATAATACGCATAAATAATGTATATAACTATTAGTTATTAGCTGTTATAAAACTACGCAACAAACCAATACTACTATTGACATTTGAAAACTTGTACATTTTCTGTGAAACGAATAACTTAATTAATTTTTATTTTTATTGAAAATTATATTACGTTTCTTAATTAAAAACATTTTAAAAGCAATACAAATAATAAATACATTTTTTTTGTGACCATTGATAATTTATTTTAGTCACAAAAAAAATTAGTTCCTAAATAATATAGGTTAGGTTATCTATGATGTACGAATTATTTAAATATTTATATTTTGAAGATTGTTTGATTAAAAATGCCCAGTTTTATAATAATTATTATTCGGTAATAAATATAATGAAATGATAGGTACATCATTCTGAGTACATTTTGGTGGGTTACAACACGATTGAACATTAAACAATCTTTTTCAACACGATTGGGCAAACTTTCGGCGTATCAGACGAACAAGAAATAGAAAACAAAACCTACTTGGCGCATATTGCCATTCACTACTGTGCGACTGGCCCAGCCGGTTATAATATTTAGTTATTAATTTTTCTTTAATGATCGGTAGCCGTCTATATTGTTAATATTTAATATTTACTGTTTAATAAACGTTTTCACATATCACATAATATTAGAAAAATTGACATCAAATAAATAACCGCAAATAACCGTAGATAAGAAAAAAATGATAGTACGGTTTGCAATGCGTGATTGTCGTGGAGAAACGGTGACAACCGTTGACAGATATGCGTAGCTTTAAACAAATCATGCTCAATCGTACCCACATCAAGTTTAGACTTACTATATAGTAATATTGTACGATTTTAATTTCCGATTATTTATTTTTAATTACAACAGTACGTTGATTTCGTTAGTATCCTCATGCTTATGAAAACCTTTGAGAACAACAATTTTAAACCTACCCGTTCTTACAGTGGCGTATATAGGGGGGAGGCCCCCTAGGCCAGAGCCCATAGTGAAATTGCAGGTTCAATTAAAGCATTGTATGTATATTTACACTGTTAACAGTTTTTCACCATGATTAAGTTAGCCGGTTGATTAAAATCATTTTTGAGTAATCTACAAGGAAATGTTAGATATATTGACGGGACTTGCTTTAATGACTTATTGACTTTGATGTTAAATTCATAGTAAGATAACATTAAAATATACAAACGGCACTGTCAATATTTTTAAAAAAAGAAACAAAAAATTAATTTTACATAATAATTATAAAATTGAATTGCGCAATTTTTATTTGAACTGTATAATACGTCATAATTCTTAATTATATAACAGCTGCTCCCTTAAAAATGTATAATTATGGCTATGCTGCTTGACTAGTGATAATTGATAAATCGGCCCATAGTGAAAATAATTCGTATATACGCCACTGCGTTCTTAACTATTTTTACAAACTAAACTAAATTATCTATTTAGAATTAAAGCAATAACTTATGCATACAATCATTTAAATTAATTCCAATGCTTTAAGACTACTCTTTTCATAGATAATAAATATTATTATAATTTTAATATTTTTTAATAACTAAATTGACCTATTTTTTTCAATAACTAATCTAGACTGAGTCTCTAAAGTTTATGGTTTATAAAACAATTACTTCTATTCATTTATCTGAACTTAATATTACATACAGTGTATCCATATAGCCATAAAACAGATTGATTAATATGCTAAATCCATTAATGAGGTAAGTGGTATACCAATAATGGTAGACCCGGGCCTATACCCTAATAACTCATAACATTATTTTATTGTAAGACATTATCTTATCTATAGTAATTGAAGAGTTTGGTTAAAAAAAAAACCTAGAATTCTCTCTTTGAAAATATTTTATTTTATACGTGTGCAAAATAAATTTTTTCTTTAAGTATTATGGTTTTTATTAATGTTATTGTATCTAAGTTTTAGAAATTAAATTAATTTTTATTTGTTTTTTTGTGAAATAAAATTAATTATTAATTTCATGTTTAAAAATAAAGCATTACTGCAATAGCATGTGCATTGTATAACAATAGAGGTATTTTGTTTTTCTAGCAACACCACTGGGTAACAAAGTATAACTGTATAAGACATGAACCCCTAAGGTATAAAACCAATAAACAAACAATTTCGAAATCAAAACTAAATTATTATTATTTTTTTAATAATTTGGTTACTAAAATATAGTACCCTACTGAGATACAAATCAATATACCTCCAAAACTATTGCATTTTGAAAATCCTGCAGTATCCTGCACTTCTATTTTTCATAACTTTAACGCATACCCAATTCTTAAAATCTAAAATCATTCAGATAATATTTAAAGTTAAATTCAATTAAATTTACATCTACATTCAATAAACGCACACATTTTAAATATATGTAAATATAATATCGTACGAGCAGTGTGCAATTAACACATTTTGATAATCGACGTTTGTCCTGTGTAATAAGTGATGTAAAACACAAATCAATGAATAAGTAGGTATACCTATAGCATATATTTTTGTACCTGTGTTCACGATTATTTATTGTTACGCGGTTATCAAACCATATAAACATTAAACACACACGCACAACACCGGTGATTTTGCGTAATGCCGCCGCCGAGTTAAATCGAGAGTTGTCTTTAGAAATTTTAGCTCATCCTGTAATGAAAATAATGATTATTAAATTACCCGATTAACAACATAAGTGTATATATTTATATACATTACACATTTACGCGCATCGCCGAGTCAACGTGCGAGTGGAACAATATTATTAAACTGTACATTATATCCTAATACAGCGTTATGCGAATCAATATGTGCGCGTACACGAAATCGGTCTTAAGAGATAGTGCATTAGGAAATAAAAAAATTCAAAACTGGCCTTTCTCTCTGCTGAACACTTATCTTCCGACTCCGGTACCATCGTCGTAGGTATATATAAATTACCAACATACGATTGCGTTTAAGATATTTGGATATAGACTCCGATCGTGACTGGTCTGTGAAGACCGTGGGCGGTATCGCATATTATCTACGACTTAAACAAAAGCACGTTGATACTTTCACAGTGTTTATATTTTATTTTCATAATTATTTTTTTAAATACCTACCTAACATTATAAAATACAACGTAGCTAGGAAAAAAGTAAAAACAATCTGCAGTTTAGCGTGTAAACACAAATCACGGCTCGTATATTGATACAGGTGCACAAGTATTTGCAGGACTTCTATTTTTTTTTTTTAACGAAATTCAGTTAATACAATCATCGATGTAACGTTAAAACACTTAAATCGGATACGATCTTACAACTCTTTTACGTATACTTATCACATAAAAACCTGTATGACGTCTGTATAAATATAATGTAATGATGGTATTCGCCATTATGTTTCTAGCCCATGAATCATTTCACCCATTTCATACACATAATTGATACGTTACCGCCTCTACTATTAATCTTGTCAATCTTATATGGACCCTAAAAATTAGTTTTAATAATATGTACAGTGTCCTATTGCTTTCTATGTGTTAATTTTAAATAATTCTAAAACCAGTTTTCTTTTTAGGTTACGGAAATCCAAAAAGCACCGCTTCCTATTCCACTGCCACCAACGCCACCGGAAGAGCCAACAATTGTTTCAATACCACCGTCACCGTCAACCGACAGTGACAGGGACACGAACCAAAAACCAAAAGTTACCAGTGATGCTAACAATAATGGGATCCCGGAGAAAGACCGAAATGCGAACCAAACAAAAAGTCACGTTTGTCAAGAATGTGGGAAAACTTTTGTAACCAAAGCGTCTCTTAAGGTATAATTTTCCAGACTCAACTTATCTAACTGTAATAACTATGTTATAAACAACGATTTAAATCTAAAAACATTCAAACTTTCAAATGACTAATAAGCCCGTATTCTTTCTAAAAACGATATAATTAAACACCTAACATGTGAGTAGGCGGTAAAAATAATTTATTATTGGGCAACCAATGAGGTAATCTTGTAATCAATTATCTATGGGGCTCAGGGGTCTTCAACCTTTTCAGCTGCATAAAAACTGTCCACATTCGCAATGAAAACACGAATTTAATAATTAAAATTGTATTCAAAATACTTCCTATGCCTGCCCCCGTTCACAGGCCTCAAATAATGACAAGGTGGGTCGCGGGTTGAAGACCCCTGATCTGTAGCCAAACACTTTTAGTTAATAATTAAATATAATTTGACGATTGTACCAGAGTATCCATGCGATGTGTTCGATAATTTGTTTTTACAGTGTCATCATTTATTACGCTTAAAAACAAATTAACTTAAAGTTACGAAAGAAAATCAAAATGCCATCCTTAAGAAGTCAAAATATTCTCTCCACAGGATAGAGATATCGCCGAAATATAGAATGATACAGATTTTCCTAGTTCTACGGAATAGCATGTTCAATAAAAATTTAAAATGTATACGCAATCAAATGTTTTCCTCGACAAATCCGGAAAACTAAAAAATGTCTGTTTCAGATCATAAAAATACGTAAACTTTTATTGTATAAACTCACGAACAGTAATAACTTAAAAATGCTATGGCAATAATAATACAAACCGTGTGACATTTGAAATCGTTATGGCTCACTCATCTTCGTCGACAGTGCAAACCAATATCCACACGTCTAATAATGTGTCTTTCTGCCTGTACAGATCCACCAGAGGACCCACACGGGCGAGAAACCGTTTGTGTGCGAGTCGTGTGGAAAGCAGTTCAGCCAACTGCGCAACTACAAGTACCACAGGTCCGTGCACGAGGGCACCAGAGAGTTCTCCGGAAGCTGTCCGGAGTGCGGTAAGCTGTTCAACGACCGCGGGTACCTGAGCTCACACATGAAGATTCACCGGAACCGGAAGGAGTACGAGTGCGAGTATTGCACGAAGAGCTTCAACCAGCGGGTGGCGTACAACATGCACGTGCGCATACACACGGGCGAGAAGCCGCACAGTTGTCACCACTGCGGCAAGTCGTTCACCAGGAAAATGCTGCTCAAGCAGCACCTGCGCATACACACTGGCGAAAAGCCGTTCTCGTGCGCCGTGTGCCACAAGCCGTTCGCCGACCGGTCCAACATGACGCTGCACATGCGCCTGCACTCGGGCGTCAAGCCGTACGCGTGCGCGGTGTGCGCCAAGTCGTTCACCAAGAAGCACCACTTGAAGACGCACATGAACTACCACACTGGCGTCAAGCCGTACTCGTGCGACAAGTGCGGGCTGAGCTTCAGCCAGAGTAGCAACATGAGGACGCACCTGAAAAAGTGCAGTGCCGTCGCGACGCCGCCACCTCCGTCGCAGTCGCCGCTGAACGCCACAGTGGCGGCACTGGCCGCACGGCACGACTGAACGAGTACGACGTCCCTTGCGTTTCTTCACAAATCGAAACGGTTTTCATCTCACCACTTTCCGATTCGGCCTTCTTCCTCTTACTACGCCCGCGACTGACCACAAACACCGTCGCTTTGTAGCTATACAAACGTTAGGTTATGTAATTAATATAAATAATTTATGATTTTGTGTAATATACATGTATGTATGACTTATAAATATTATTTTTGTTCTATCGGATCGTCCAGAAACGGTCGAAATCGATTTTGAGTTTAAGTATTTTCATTTATCAAAACACATTATTAAAAAACACCAAGCGGTGCAGGTCCTATACGAATATCCAAAAGCAAGTAACCCAGAGTTTCTAACGGTGTGGTGGATAGTGAACATGAAATATCATCATATCAATATGACAGTGTGTTACACACATATTATCATAACTGCCGTTTGCAGGTGCCTACGATTATACGATAGTTTTTGTGTGTGTCGCGATTGCCAAGAATATGTTCCTAACTTTCTATGATGACGAACGGTCGATGAGCGGTTGACACGGTCGCTCGAAATATAGGTATACACTTAGGTATAATGCGACATTAGTAACGGCCAGTCTCGAAATGATCCGATGATGACGGGCCGAGAATCGTCAATTGGGGGGGGGGGGGAGTGGGCAGGAATGAAAAATGTGTATATTGTAATTGTATGATATGAATAATTAGGTCAACTCTAATATATATTACCGTGTTCATAGTAAATAATATTATACACTACGACATGTACGTAAATAATTATACATTCAACAACTCTATAGGTACAATATAAATACATAATTACATGTACTTAAGAATTAAACAAATAAAAATTAAAACTGTTTCAACCACCACTTGCGGCGGATCTACTTCACGGCCGAGATTATTTATTTCTCGATGTGCGACATGACGACGTTTTCTAATCACTTGAACACTTTGACCGGATACGGTTGTTTGCTTGTCGAGCCACCGACCTCCGGTGCGTATCCGTTCGCCCCGCCGAGTTAGTGATTAATCGACACGCACGAGCACTGGCAATCAGTAATAGAATCTAGCCGGACAATTATTATCCGTCGACCGGGTCGAGGCAGGTGTTATTATCTCAATCCGGACGAGTGTCCGCGGGAGGTGCATTGAGGCGGTTGTGAGTCTCGGAATTGTATTATATTTTATACATAAGGTACGGTGATAATAATATTCCAAAATTTATGTTGCAATATCATTTGATATCGAAACGACCAACGTTTCAATCGGACCGTCCGGTAAACGACGGACCGGAACTGGTATTTCAATACCACGACGTTATCGCTCTGCGTTCGGCGATGGTATGTGATATGCACTGATGGGTAGGAACCTATTATAATATTAGCAACTGTAATATAGTATAATACTGTATGTGTACCTAATACGAAGGCTTAGTCTAAATTGGGTTAATACAGAGTGTATCTTGAGGCTGAATGTTTATGTTAATGTAACAATTATTATTATTTGCCCTAATTATATGCAAGTATGATCGTGTTTAAAATAAAATAAAACTAAAAATTACCGTTTTGAGACAGAAGACAGAAGTGAAAACTCCTACTAATAAATTTTGATTATTGGTTTTTATTAATTTTACTAACATAGCAACGTTCCGTGTGAGCAAAATAGTGACTCGAGTGACTGTTGTTAGATTTGTATCATTGACCGTCGGATAAACCATATTACCATAGTCGGTGAGCAACCATACTATCTTAAATAGTGGTATTAGAGCCACTATCCTCTGACGAACGTGCGCGCGCATCCATATATACGTATAATGTATTTATACAGGTTACAGATATAATGAATTGAAAGCGTTACGTTTATCAGTGTCGCTGATATTTTCACTCATCGTTTACTCCCATAGTTGAAGCGAAAAGCAGAGCCTCCCAAGAGAAGTGTTCACTTCAAAAATATAGCTTAGGTATTAAATTTGTACTCGATTCTTGAACTGATGAATGGTAGTATTTTTTGGCTTTTTCAAATAAAAAAAAAGGAAAGTGTAGGTAGTACTGTAGTACAATATGAATCGAGTGTACTCCCAGTCATTGAGTAGGTCATGATGTTGGATGCGTTAAATTTGAATTCAATTATATAAAATCATTGCGTGCCCAGCAAGAAGGCCCTGAGCATAGACTGTCTGTGAGGCTATTTGCATATAAATATAATATTTCTATTAATTATTATCATAATTTATTTTACTATTTATAAAAATAATATTACTCAGAAAAACTCTGCCGAGGAGGGGGAGGCAATTTTTGCAAACCGATTCAAAACGAAATCGAAAGCGGCCCATGGCGTCCATTTTAATTTAATGCTGTATGTTATAGGTGTAACATTTTTATAAGCACATATACCTACCTATCGGCTATTGCCCATAATAAAGCATGTTATTTCAATGGCGCGCCGATCGTTATAATAAAGATAATTTTACGAGCAACTTACCGGAGGCGGAGGTCGTCTGAAAAGCTGTGGACCGCCGCGGCCCAGACGAACTGTCGATCTTTTTTTTTCTCCGTCCATCCGATTTTCAATTCCGCGGCATCCCGATAAATCATCCGAGCGGTGGTTTGTCAAACGCGATTTCGGCGGCCCCGTTGCTCGCGCCCGAGGTCGTAAATACGTCACCGTGCCAGTACGTCTCTATTTACAAATCAGCGCGGCCAACAACCGGGGCACAGGTCGCGTCTCGTAAGGGAACGAGAGGTGGGCAGGCAGGTATTATCGTATAACGCAAATTCAATAACCCGTAATTATTATTCTCGGCCCGAAACCGCTGGCCGGTGCAGGCCATTACGCGGACGTGACACGATCGTAAATCTATAACACGAGGCTGCTATGCATATACATGTGCCCATGGTGTGTTATGTACGTGCGTAAAGGCGCGCTGCTGGTACGACTATATATATAACGCGAGAGCCTCGGGAAACTGCGTAGGATTTACGAGCTGCGTGAGTGCCGCCGGAACGAGATTTTTCGTCGTTTATTACCGTCGACAATTATTATTATTAAATGGGCGCGCGTAACCGCTACGAGACCGGACAGCGTATCATATTTTGCCGACCGGTTTCCGCGGGAATACGCGGGCGAACTGTATATTCCCCAAGACGAGTTGTACGGCTACTATTAATATAATATACGTTAAAATATACGTTTTTGAGGAGCTGCAGGTATGTGAAATAGCGATTTTTCGGTGCACCGGCAGCGGCGACGGTGCAGGCTGAAAGTCCTCCGAACGTTATAATATTATCATTATTCCCGCTGTTGTGTCCACAACCGTGCGTGCTGCCGCAGAAATTGTCGGCAGCGCATGACTATATGCACAATATAACATACCTACGTATTAAGTATTCACGTCCAAACTTAAATACTGTTCCGATTACTATTCGGGGGGGGGGGGGGTGTGAGGTGATTATATTTTTTACACCAACGCCTTGAGATAATCACATATTATAATATACCTATACTGCAGTCTACAATGTAATGTTCTACCACATACTAGAAAAAGTATATATTTTTTTAATACGGTTCACAAACTTACAATTATGAATGATAATATAGTGAATGCGATGTTACTAAAATAGTCAATAAGTCACTGGAAGTCTCTAGTCAGAAGTCACACCCTTACACCAGGGGAAAATGACTAGACATATTATTATAATTTATATGTGGCATTTTTTTCCAAGCCAAACATTAACGGTTAATTTAGTACCTGTATATTTATATCTATAGTGTTATGCTTTTATTATTGAGCGTTTATTTACGCCTACTACTGTGCGTAAATAATAACTATTACAATTAAGTATATTTTGTAAAATATGAACTCAACGATATTACTCGTGCGAACACACCTACAACAGAAAAGTTCACCAAGGGCCAAAACCCTACCCGACCATAACTATACCGCGTGGTTGTATGCATTGTCTGACTTTATGTCAATAATATATTATGTTATTATAATCTGACAGCGTGTTTCACCTACCACGCTGCTATAGAGTATAAATCTTATTAGAGTGTTGATATTACATATAAATAGAGTGGTGAGAATAGGGACAAAAACAGTGTTATGTCAATATATATTTTTGGCCCAATTCCTGTGGCCCGTCCCGTTTATTATTAATATCGATTGGTTGACATTAAATTATCCAGTTTTTGTTTTTAGTTTTCACAAGTCTAAAATAGTGTCATGGCGTCATAATATTATATATTATAATATATCAGTCATGACAGCCGGCATATTTATATTTTTTTAATACACTTGTTCGATGCTTATAGGTAAGTCGTGGGTACTCTTACAGATTCAAAAATATAAATATTAAACTCGAGATTATTGAATTTGATTCACCCATACATAAATAGTCCTAAATTATTAACGATATTTTATTTTACATTAGTCCGTCCGACATTTCTTGAGGAGTTATGGAAACCTCGACATTTACTATTCAGTGAAATAAAATTCGAATTACACAATATGCACATGGGTACTAATTTTATTACAATCATCAATTACCTATAATGCAAATTAAAACGCACGAACAAAATAAACGATTGGATAAACGAAAATACGTAACATTAGTATTGCTTCTCAGCCTCAGATCTTTTGAATATTTTAATAAATATTATTTCCACGTCGACGAATCCGAGTAATTCCGTTTGGCTAGATTCTAGCCGCTAGAAGCTACCGAGTCCCGAATCCCGATCCTGTTATCTCAGCGGATTCTTATCCAACATGCCCTTTGTCAACCAGAGAATCCCCGAGCAAAAACCATTTTTTTCTTTTTAGAAGTAATTTACAAATGTCGAGATAAAACAACTATGTAATCGAATTCAAACGTCTTTACATCTCTGTCGACTTGGGAATTAAAGCTATTCAGTTGGTTAGGTTAGGTTCAGAGACAGTGAGAGACGAGAAGATAAATCGATTAGTGCTGGTATCGAACTATATACAAATCAGTACGTCTAGATCATTAACACCAAAAAAGTGGTTTTACAAAATCATTCACATCTTTTTAATCTATAAATTGTAACATTTTCTTTAGGCGTATATTAAAACTAAATACCTAATTATACATTGTCACTCAATTAGTCAAACATGTTCAACCGACTTCTCCTGTATAATTTGCATCTTAATTACAGTACTCATATGCAAATTTAGTAGAAACTTAAGACTTG